AAAAATTTGCCCAAGACAACTTAGTTAACAGCAATTTGAACATAACTCAATAACTTACCAGGCGGTTCTCATCAAACACCTCCAGCAGCAGACGATGCTTACTGGGATCAACCTGCAACATAACGTCATCCGTAAAGTCAAGTTTGCTTTATCGCCCAATGAAATCACTGTTAGCATGAGCCACAGTCAACTAAACCAACATCAGGAATTATTACATGCTATGGTGAGGTTTGACATGCAGTTTGAAACATGAAGTAGTGATTTATTTTAAGTTTCACTCACTCTGAAGAAGAATTCTTCATTCCACTTTGGGTCGAGTGTCTTCAGGTTACAAAAAGTAAGAAAAGGAAAGAATTATCCACAAAGTCCACAAATAAAACAAGTGTAAGTGCAAATGCAGGTGATCACATTCTCACCTTTTTAATCGTTTTAGTCTGAAGACCTGCGATTTCTCCATTGACGGGGTCATAGAGGGACATCCGAGTGTACGGATCACTGCAACAGAGACACAGTAAGATTCACATGTGTAGACATCCATTTATAGGCAGCTATGATCTGTCTTCTGCTCTCTTTGTATTAGCGGTTCATGCAGCCCCTTTGAAATGAGCCTCTTCTTTATCTCTTAGGGAAGTGAAACACTTTGCATTGTTCTTTGGTGAGATCATTCACTGCGGTCGGCCCCGAGAAACATTAACATCGTAGCTGCAGCAAGCCTGTGGTCATGCAGTGTAGACTGTAATTGCTATTTTAAAATGATTTTATGCACTGTTGAGAAAACCACATCCACCAGAAACAACACAAACTCCATTACCGAGCCTCGCTGGCAGCAATCAGCCGTTAGTAATGTATTAGATGACAGCCGTTACATAAGAGCGATACTAACGCAGCAATTTTATCCATAGCATGAACATGCAGTTTATATACGGGCATCAAGTCCTCAAGCAATGAACAAAATCAGCTTTTCATTTACTCCTAATTAGAACTGATTGTTATAGTTAGATTATAGAGGTGTTTAAAAATAACATAAAACTAAAAGTAGCGCAAAAGCCAGGAATACAAATACTGTAGAAAGTTACATTTGCAATTTGGGGAACAGTTAAAAGCTTTTTTTATGGATTAAATTCCCAACAAGTGTAATCTTGTTATGACTGACTGCTCTTTAAGGAAATGCCAGCACTATGCAAGTTCAAGTTGTTTATTTAGAAAATTCCAGGAAGATCTTTTTCACTGAATGAAGAAAATAAATAAAAACCGGACCAGATCTAAACATTTAAAGAAAATAAACTATGATATTCCAGGGTTAATAAAGGGTTTCTTGCTGAAAATACAGAAAAAAAAAGTCCTTTGGGTTTTTTAAGGGATTTGGAAGAGAACAATGGACTCAATCAGATTCATCGAACACTAAATGATTTGTGCTTCAGTGGAAGGCGGCTCTGCAATAGTTTCAGCAACTTGTGGTTGTTCAGCTTTATGAATCAAGCTGGACAAGCATGGCATCACCTGCAGAATTTATTAGAACGTGACTAAAAATGAGCTCCAAGAACAAGTGCATCATTAAGAAAAAATGTCTGGTTTCCTCTTGTCCCATGTGAGGATTTACTGCTTTGTATTTTCAGATATCAGCGTATTTGTGTGACGGTAAAACTAATCTATTTGGATTTAGACAGATTACTGGACAAATCTATTCTCTGACGACGCTTCAATGATTCAATCGAGAAGCGTATTGGCAGATTGAGTAATAATGAAACAAACAACACAAGCAGGCCTGAAGTTTCTCCTGCTTACCTGGCTCCAAGGATGTCTTTTTTGGCCAGTCCAATTCCAGCAATGACTTTCACTTTTAGGATTCTGGTGCCATCCTGAATTTACAAAACAAAACAAGAAAACACATAAAGACAGAGATTACTTCGAGGAGTCATAATTTACATATCAAAGAACAGACGGACACACAAAGAGATAGATCATTAGATCCATAAACAGTATTATGCAAAGTGCAGAATCACCATACAGCCCAATACACTGTACAATTAAAACGAATACACACGGGAATAAATAATTAAAATGAAAATGAAGCAACCACACCAATGTTAAAAGGGATGTTTGAAAAAGTGATAAATATTCTGGGTTAAGATAAGATGATCCTTTATTTCTGCCTACGCCAGGGGAAATTTACAATAAATTATAGAGAATGGATGCATTCTTTTTTCTTTTTTAATATATTTTTGTGGCTTTTTGCCTTTACTTTACAGCAGTAGAGATAGACTGGAAAAGGGGGGAAAGCCCTGCAGCAAAGGGTCGTGAGCGGAAGTCGAACCCACGACGTCGGGGAGCTACAGCCCCTGTTTATGGGTCGCCCGCTCAACTAGGTGAGCTACAGGGGCGCCCTACACCTACATCCTTGATTTAAGATTGATAGAACGCATAGTAAGCAAATGTTTTGAAGCCAAATGATTATTTGATAACTGAAGGAATGATCAGGACACCCGCATTGAGGGAGTAAAGAGGGAGTGCCGGTGTATCTGGTATAATTAACTCAGATAAGTCAGATAAGTTGGGTCATGTAAGGCCATGCAAGGTCCTACCAGTTAAAAGAAGAGCCTCAAAAACCAACTCTAACCAGCACTGGTAGTCAATGTAAAGACGATCAGGATCGGTGTTAAATGTTCAAACTTCTTCGTGTTTTTTATCAAGATTAAAGCTGTAGTCGTGTGAAGACAGACGTGCTGAAGGTTTGCAGTTGTGGATGAAGTATTTGAATATTTTACCTAAATTAAAGTACCACAGTTTATTAATACTTTCTACCAGTAAAAGTCTTAAACACCCAACTTTGCTGAAGTATGTAAGTACTACCGGCAGAACAAGGAAAGCACAAGCAGCTTAGAAACACTGAAACCTTCTTAATGGCACAACTTCACTCTGAAGAATAACGTTTGGGCTCAACAAAAGAAATGAATGCAGCAGTCTGCATCAATCATTACGAGTGATTAAAACTTTTAATGACATTAAATTCAGCCAACACACTACATTGAGTTAGAGGAACTGCTCTTTTATCTACAATCAAAGGTATTTTAACCACCAGTCTTATTCAGATATCTACTCTTTAATGACAAATATGTTAACTCGTGCTGCATTTTATTATCAGCATTACGTTGTACAGTATTTCAGTAGTGCTAGCTATCTAATTATGCAAAACATGGACCAACAAATGGCTTGGGTGATCAGAAAACTGTCGAGACTAAAGTAAAATTTGGAGTGCAACTGTTAAAATGTTGGAGTATCCTGCTAATGTTTTTGTGAGTAATTTTAGAAATGTTTGCCTTGCAGAAAGGCTCTGTGGTCACCTGCTGTAGCGCTGAAATTCTATGTGATATGTGCAGTATTTAATGATTCAATTTAAGCTTATATTTTATACAGGTTTTTTTTCCAGGCGTGTTAAGCGGGGAATGAAATTCTGAAGTCTTCTCAAGACAATTTCATTAAGTTACCGCAACTTGAATTTAGTTTTAAATCAACTAATGCAGAAATCTGAGTTGAAATTACACACATTATTAAGTTGTTTCTATTACTAACATGGCATTTTTTATCTTGCAAGCATTCATTTAATTAAAATTTTAGGAATAGGATCGTTATTAATTACTTTTTAGAATGTAGGAAGAGCAAAGAAAGTGGAATAAGATCATATGATAATAAAAACCGGTCTAGTTCATTTGCAAAAACAGATAACTCCATGTTCACAAAACCTTCAGAAAACCCGAGACAATATCAATTAAACTGTTTTTGTCATTTCTACTGAGTCCAATCCACTCAGCTTCAGTTTGACTGATATCACCTCAAGCAAACAACAACATGGAGTTATGTGATTTTGCAAAATAAACTCTTCACATGCATCATAGCAGCTGGTAATATAGTGCATGGGGCTGGTCCAGCTGTACCTCGTCTTGTGTTACAGGTTTTCAAGCGTGTTACATAAAAGCACGAACACAATAGAAGTGAACAGCAAAGGCGTTGGATGATAACAATAACAGGAACTCCTGCTGAACCACAGAAGTGTGTCTTTCATATGAATCTCCATCGCTCGCATGCAGCACACACACACACACACACACACACACACACACACACACACACACACACACACACACACACCCCTCTCCAGCACAATCAGGGTTCAGTCTGCGGATGATGTAACATCCTGACAATTCTTGGCACTGGTGACCGTTTCCCACCATCGCAACCAGCGCTTCACTTTTACTGGGAACTCGAGTCAAACAAGCGGGAAGTTTCGCAATCAATCACACGGGCCGTGACACCTCTGGGCCTCGTTACACGGTCACCTGTCCTGACAGCGGAGACCACATGAATTATTAGAAAGGCAGAGTCCTGCTAGCTCCTAGTTTGTGACAGGAAGGCGTTGACAGCGCCTGAAAACAAAGTTAGCTAGCGCGCTGTGATTTCAAACTACAGCGTTAGCTTGGACTAGTTACGGGCTGATATCGATTTGTTCCCCCCCTATTATCAATAAGTAACTCCTTTATCCAGATAAGACGAAATTTCCCTCGTCACAAGTTAACCAGCTAGTAAGTTAGCCTCCTAACTAGTCAGTCTAACTAGTCCGTGTTTAATGAGTCAGTAGTTAGCTACGGTTGGTAGTTAGCCAGCTGGCTAACGACGGGATCACATGCCTCGTTGACGGCTGACTAGTGTGTAAGTTTACCTCATCTGACTGAAGTCCCTGGATCTGTGCGGGGAGAGCAGCCATAATATCCTTCTTCCTCCCGGACAAGCGACGACAACACGGACAAGAAACGACCGACGAGACGCTCCTGAGTTTGGGGGGGTTCGGTTGAAACTCTTTTATTCCCTCGGTGTGTTTACGCTGCTCGTTACCGTCAACCTGAGCTGCTGTGTGGAGCCGTGACACCGTCGTCACTCCGTATCCATCCTCCTCCTCCTCCTCCTCCTCCTTCCTCCTCTTCCTCCTCCTCCTCCTTTTCCTGAGGAAAACCACCAGAGGACAGCTGAAGGCATCGTTACTCCACCACTGAGTGTGTCCGACCGCTGGAGGAAGGATTCAATAATATCACCACCGACATATCCGACAGTATTCTCCTTCTAGTACACGTTGTACTTTCTCATCCAGACCAAGTACGCTGTCAAACACAACGAGTACTCCTCATGTGGAGGACCCTTGTGTTCATCACTGGCTCAGATAACATGGCGACCACTTGTTTACCTCAAAGGACAGAAAACTTTTCTGGTCAATAGAGAACAACTGTGTACAGTTTTAGGTGAAATAAACCTTTAAACTCATAGCTTGTTTCTTAGATAGTACTATTTGCTTATAATAAATATTTAGTACTTTGACTGAGTAGAAAGTAGTATTTTTGGGTGGAATAAACCTTTAAAACTACAAGCATTTGGACAGAAAGTACTATTTTGCTTGGAATAAACTTTTAAACTCGGTAGGAATGAACTTTCAAAAGGATAAACATTCAAGACTGCAAGCACTTGGACAGGAAATAGTATTCATCTTTAAAACTACAAGCACTTTGACAGAAAATAGAATTTTAAGTGAAATAAACTTTTAAAACTATGGTCAGTTGGACAGAAAATAGTATTTTGAGTAGAACAAACCTTTAAACTCATAATTTCTATGTTATAAAGTACTATTTTAGTGTAATTAACATTTAATACTATAAGCACTGGGGCATAAAGTAGTATTTTTAGTGGAATAAACTTTAAAAACTATAAGTACTTGAACAGAACGTAGTATTTTGGGTTGGATTAAACCTTTAAAACTATGAATACTGGAGAAAAAAAAGGAGCTTTTTTGTGTGAAATAAACCTTCGAAATGTAAGTGCTTGGCAAGAAAATAGTATTTTAAGTGGAATTAGCTTTTAAACCATGACATTTTCTTTGTGCTGTTTGAGTGGAATAAACATTTAAGACAGCAAGCATTTAGACAGGAAAATATATTTTAGGGTGGAATGCTCCTTTAAAACTACAGCCACTTGGACAGAAAGTACTATTTTGAGTAAAGTAAACCTTTAAACTCGTAATTTCTTTGTCAGAAAGTACTATTTTGAGTGAAATCAACCTTTAAGCTTATAATTTGTTTGTTAGAAAGCACTCTTTGAGTGTAATTAACACAGAAGCACTTGGACAAAAAGTATTTAGGGGTCAAATAAACTTTTAAACTATAAGTACTTGGTACGAAAACAGTATTTTGAGTGGAATAAACATTTAAGACTGCAAGCACCTGGACAGGAAGTAATATTTTAGGGGGCAATCAATCTTTAAAACTAGAAGTACTTTGACAGAAGGTAGGATTTTAAGTGGAATAAACTTTTGAAAGTACAGTCACTTGGACAGAAAATAGTATTTTAAGTAGAACAAACCTTTAAACTCATAATGTCTTTGTTAGAAAGTACTATCTGAGTGTAATTAACGTTTAAAACTATTACTACTTGGGCATAAAGTAGTATTTTTATTGGAATAAACCTTAAAAACTATAAATACTTGAACAGAAAGTAGTATTTTGATTAGAACAAACCTTTTAACTCATCATGTCTTTGTTAGAAAGTACTATTTGAGTGTAATTACCATTTAAAACTATGAGCGCTTGGGCATAAAGTAGTATTTTTAGTGGAATAAACCCTAAAAACTGTAAGTACTTGAACAGAAAGTAGTGTTTGAGGTGGAATAAACCATTTAAAACTACAGTCACTTGGACATAAAATTGTATTTTGAGTAGAACAAACCTTTAAACTCATAATGTCTTTATTAAAAAGTACTATTTTCGTCTAATTAACATTTAAAACTGTAAGTACTTGGACAGAAAGTAGTATCTTAGGTGAAATAAACTTTTAAACCCGTTATGTGTTTCTTAGAAGGTACTATTTCAGTGGAATTTACATTTAAAACTATAAGTACTTGAACAGAAAGTAGTATTTTTAGTGGAAAAAACCTTCACAAGTATAAGCACTCGTGTTCTCATCTACTCATGTATTAAGCAGAATTTTTCATGCAAGACATTCACTTTTTTCACATAAATGTAGATAATACTTTTCTTTGTTTCCATGTTTGACAGAATGAATTTCCTACAAACATAGTTAATAAATCCAACCCAGCATCAGCTTTATTACTGAAACTGAACTGTCTTAAATGGAGGCAAATGAAACCAGACGCTTCCTGCAGACTAATGCAGTCACATACATGGTGACAAGTGGTTCTGATTGTTTGCAGTTAATGGGGTAAACTGCAGGATAGGAGCTGCGGTTGTACTGGGAACCAGAACAGCTGCTGGGAATCACAACCTGAGAGTGAGATCTCCTCCCACTGAAGGTCTCGTGTCGTCTGGCTGCTGGTTCTGTTTTGCTACCACGCTTCTGGCTCGAAGTCAGGAGGACGTTTGGAGAAACATAAACAGCACTTGGCCAGAACAGGGCAGAGACGCTGTGGGCTGTCATCAGTCAAACAGGCAGCTTCTCTCGGAGCACGGTGCTGGTGTTTTGTACTGGTGCACGAACAACAAGAGAGGTCAGGTTTCATTCTACTGGGAGGCTGGAGCTGGTTTCCAGTTCAGGTTTATGACAATTCCCCACAGTGCTGCTGCTGCTTGAGAAAATTAATTGTTTGCCTAAAACACTAATTATGTGTGTGCAATGAAGGCTCTAACAGTAGCTACAGTATTAGGATGGACTAAAGAATCACTTTGTTAGAGTTTAAACTTGTGTTTGTGTGTCAGCACATTGCATTCACACCATAATACTCCACAACAGTGAATTTTAAAGGACATATTCATCACTCTGTATGACAAGCAGGCTTGTTATTATCTAGTTTATAGAGGCTTAAATGGGGTTAAGCCAAAGATGTGAACTTTCTTTATTCAGTTACTTTTATCTGAGACTTCCCTTGAATAGATTCCTTTCTGCTAATAAACTACTTGTAGCTCATTCTGATGAAGAAGCTTGAAATGTATGAATATTTCTTCAAAGCACCATCCATCCATCCATCCATCATCTATACACCGCTTAATCCTCACTAGGGTCATGGGGGGCTGGAGTCTATCCCAGCTGATTCGGGGTGAAGGCAGGTTCACCTGGACAGGTAACCAGTCTATCACAGGGCTACACTTAGAGACAGACAACCAAGCACACTCACATTCACACCTACGGACATTTTAGAATCACCAATTAACCTCAACATGTTTCTGGACTTGTGGGAGGAAGTCGGAGAACCCGGAGAGAACCCACGCTGCACGGGGAGAACATGCAGACTCCACACAGAAAGATCCCGGGTGTCCTCACCGGGACGCAACCCGGCGACCTTCTAGCTGCGAGGCAACAGTTCTATCCACTGAGACACCTTGCAACCCTCAAAGCAACATATTATCTTTAAACTTTGTACAGTCAGGCAGGTGTTTTCAGCTCGTCTTCTATCTGATCAAACTCCTGCACAGATTGCAATACTGAGAATTCACCCTCCTCACAACAGCAGCAGATACATCACATGTATAAGTAATAACATTAATAATGGCTGCGTTCCATTTAGCTGTGTCAGTGAGGAGCCACAGTCAGGTATCAAGCTGGATACAAGGACCTGTGACGCACTAGTGCAATACTGCTGTTGTTAAATTAGTTTTCGCTTGTGAACACGTGCAAAATAGTTTATTCCATGAACCATAAAGAATAATAAAGGCGTGCAATGTGCTGCTATTAGAGATGATACAAAAATGACACTCAGGGCTGGTGTGTCCAGTACATACTTTATAAGTTATTAGTAATAATAATGTCTTTATTTATAAAGCACTTTTTAAAAATAAAGTTACAAAGTGCTTTACAATAGAAACAGATATTGCAAGTAAATAAGATCCAGAGGTCCAGACGCACATTTCCACAGCTGAGGAAGTGAAACAGTAAAGTTGTTGACGAGTCGAGACTTTGGAACCGTCGGTAGGAATCTGCTGAAGGATCTCAGGCAGCGATAAGCGATAAAGTCAGTCAGCAGATCACAGGTATGTGCAGGAGCCCGGCCAATTAATGCTTCAACAGCAAGCTGTGAGATCTTAAGGTTGATTTTCAAACTCACCACTGAAGGGCAGCGAAACTCCTGTCCTCAGCACTTCATTAAATGCATGGCTGCAAGAAAATAAATTGCATTTATTGAGTCATATAAGTCTTTTAAGTGTCAAACATTATTTTTGATGGGTTTTGTTGGAATATCAATGCAGTTATTGTTGTTTTCTGTTTTTGCAAGATGTAAACAGGATGTGTTCAAATACACAACAGCCGCTCAAAATACATGTAAAAAAAAAAAAAGTCAGCAATTTTATAGTTCAATAAATTCATTTCTTAGAAGCTACTGCACGAACAAAAACATTAAAAAGCCAAATAATTAGTGAAGAAGTCCAATTGAAACAACTTCCATCCATCCATCATCTATACACCGCGTAATCCTCACTAGGGTCGTGGGGGGTTGGAGTCTATCCCAGCTGACTCAGGGTGAAGGCAGGTTCACCTGGACAGGTAACCAGTCTATCACAGGGCTACACTTAGAGACAGACAACCAAGCACACTCACATTCACACCTACGGACAATTTACAATCACCAATTAACCTCAACATGTTTCTGGACTGTGGGAGGAAGCCGGAGAACCCGGAGAGAACCCACGCTGCACGGGGAGAACATGGAGACTCCACGCAGAAACATCCCGGGTGTCCTCACCGGGACGCGAATCGGCAACCTTCTAGCTGCGAGGCTAACCACAGAGCCAGCTTGCAGCCCTTGAAACAACTTAATTTAGCAAATGTTTGTCAACTTAAAAAGCTTGTGCGCATCATGATATAATTTAGGAAAAAATCCTTTAAAAAACAATGGAAATACTAAGTAGATCTACTTGAATTTTATCAACTTATAAATATGTGTTTATGCTGCCAAAGACT